GCTTTTGCTTCATTCACTAGTGCCTGCCCATAACACAAGTTTTAGCACAATCCAACTGAAAACTCCAAAAATATAGCCCATACTCACGCGCGCAATTTAGTAAGCCTACCTTGGCAAACCCTTCAGCGGTACCAGTTTGAGTGCCAAAGAAGACGGTGACCTTTGTCTTACCATCATCGACCTCCGCCTTCGGGGCCGCAACCTCCAACGGTCTGAGTGGCACGACGGGCCTCGACTTTGAACTGTGGGATCTCCGCCACATCAGAAAGACCACACACCCGATCAAAACCGCTATGGAAGTGGTCAGCACCATCTCGTAGTTCCGTTTCTGCAATAGCATCGAAACCAGGTCGTTGGAGGTGTCTAGCTTACCGTCGATGATGGCCGAGATGATATCCATAGCACTAGGTTCCATGGTTCTTGAAAGAAACACAGGAGACAATATATGATCAATGGAGCAGGAAGAGTTTGGGAATATGGGTGAAACGCGAATCCTAGAAGAATGAAGAAGAAGAAGAGAGGGGGGTTGACAAAACTACGGAAATGGGAGTGAATTGGAGGTTTATAAAGAGAATCGAAGTTTACATATTTGACTATTGAGAGGTAAAAGAGCGCAACAAAACAACGCCTGCCAAACCAGACTAGTCAAACCACCTAACGACGCGCCTTTTAACCCTTGCTTTTATCTTTTTATGTCCCACCTTCCCCTTTCTCTACTCTGTATCAGAAAATGAAATGATTGAATCCTGATTGAATTGAAAGTATCAAAACTTGGAAAAAAAAGTTTGAAGTTTCAATATTTTTCATGATTCATTGCATTTTTTATATTTCAAAAGCAGGGTCAACCAGTGCTTCTGTGTTCCATAGATGAAAATTTGAAGAGAAGTTTCTCCGTTTTGATGGAGAGTCAACCGCTAATCCTAATTTTTCAGGAATCTAAAAGAGGATATAACTTAATTATTTTTCCGTTACATGCTCGTAACTTAACAATGAATTGTACAATGCATGAATGACGTGATTGTTAATAAATACCCAATATGATTAAAAGAACTTAACTTACCAACTACTATCCTTAATGCGTTTGAAAACGAAATATAACGAGAAATGAGAGCTGAAAGAATGGAAGGGGGAGAAAAAAAGTTTCGTGGAGGGATAGTACCCACATACAGTCACCCCAGAATAATTATACTTGTAAGAAAATCTTGTCGTAATATTTTTTTAAAAAAATTATTACAATTAAATTGTTTACTGTTTATAAATTTATTTATAAATTTAAGATCCAAAGTGCATAATTTGTGGCTAGTTATTAATAAAATTTTAACACAGTAATTCATTGAACCGAAAAATGCATTCATTGTTCTGTCTCATCTTTACATGGATTTATTCCAAGTAGTAGCAACTAGTAATAGTAATAGTAATAATAATAATAATTAAAATACTACCTTAAAAGAGAGAGAAAAGAAAAATGGAGGAAAAAACTGGCTGAAGGAAAAAAAACGTGAAGAATGTAATTTTTTTTGAAAAAATTTAAAATGTTTTTGTTTTGGAAAGTCGATCATTTTTTAATATTTTTAACCTCTAGGAATTAGTATATTTAATTGATCAAATTATAAGTGTCTATTGAAACAAACTAAATTACAGAAATCTAATTTAAAATTAAAAAAACTAGAAGAACTTGTATGTTGATTTTTTCTAAAATAAAAAAAATAAGGGGGTTTTGGCGTCATGACCTGGGCACTTTAATTGACAAAGCAAATAATTTATGTTTGGTCATTTGTCAATTACTTTACTGTTGTATAAGTATTCAATGAATTAATGTTTGTGGATACGTGGAACAGTTGAAATAAGTGGAAAAGATGTATGTAACGTAGATGAATTATTTGCATTCAGTGAATCTCAGTGCCACTGGCAAGGTAATAAAAATTTGGACAAAAATTCTCACATATATTCTAGATACTAAATAAATAAATAGCCATTCACGGTTTGAAAAGAGGACGCCGAAATGGGAAAGTTAATAATAATAATAATAATAATAATAATAATAATAATAATAATAATAATTAATGAAATTGTCAAAATGATGTGAACGATTATTTTATTTTGAAGTCAAAACAAAGGAATGTTGTGCATGTAGGTGTTGTGGGTCGATTCATTTGCACTACTTTATACAAAATAGAAATTGACAAAATTTCAATTTGGCGTGTTTTCCTCAGCCTACCTCAGCACTGACCTTCTCATTAGTATTAGGGGGGGAAAATATGATCGCGCCTGATTTAACTTTCTATGTATTTTTTAAACCTCGTTTCATGATCAGCATTTCACAAAAGCTTAAAAAAAAAGAAAAAAGAAAAAAGAGGAACCCCCTATTGTAGTGCCAGGTGTAAGAAGATGCAGAGAACTTGTAAAGAAAGTTGTATTAAACATTCAAATTTTTTTAGTAGAAAATGCTTCATTAAAATCAAAAGATCAGTGCTACTGCTGGGAATACATCAATCTTAAACATTTCTCATCTCCTCCTCCTCTTGCTTTAAACATTCAAATTTTGGAACCACCAGATGCTTAATTTAACTTATAAGAGAGCTATATCATTTTAATTGGAAGTTGTTTTTCATAGGTGTTGTATTTGAACAACAAAAATCAGAAGTATCAGAAATGTCGAATCTCAAAAATAACTATAGGGTCCCAACTTTCCTGCATTAATTCATCCAAATGCAAAAACAAAAAGAGATTAGTGTAAAAAATGTGTTTTTTATTATTGAAAAAATATGGTACAAAGTGGCAATGATTACATCTTATGAACTAAAAATAAATCTAAGCCAGATATGGAGTACAAGGGTAATTTGGTGTAAGCTATGGTTGCTTCTAATGGTAATTACTAAAATTATTTGAAGCAAGCAATTATTGGTTTTTTTTTAATTAACAAATCAACCACCCATTACCCTATGATGATATTTGAAGATGTGGTAAGTTTGATCAATATGTTCTGAAAACTTTTCTCTCAAGAGCTCTCCTCTCTCAGTAAACAACGTTATTTATTGTGAAATTAAATCTCAAGTTTATCCCTTTTAGTCCTAGATTCTCGCGTGATAGAAGAGAAGTTTTATCATTATTTGAGATATGTTTTTTGTGGGTCAAAAATAAAAACTGGGTCTAACAGTCAACTCATTTAAGTTCATATTTATATGAATTTGAGCTTTAAAAAATAATATTTTTTTTAAAAAAATTAGCCTTTGAAGCCTTGCCCTGAAAAGCCTTAAAAAAACAAATTTGGGATTGGGACAGCTTCTTTAGACTTCTTGCTATTTTACCTCTAAAAAATAAAATATTTTTAATTTTAAAATTAAATTTAAATTTTAGAATATGCATTTATATTTTAAAATTATAATGTTATCATTTATTTTTAATTTTTTGAAAATTATAATTTGTATTTTGAAAATATGAAATATTATATTTGAAAATTGTAATTTTTAAAATTCAAAAAAATAAAAGAAATAATAAAAAAGGTTTACAAGTCTGATTCTAAACCTTTTAAATAATGGTTGAGTTTTAAAAAATAATTGATTTTAGGGATAATTAGTTTTATGAACTTGAGCTTTCACGGTTCCATTTTTCTATAATCCATAATCCTTCATGATTGAACATAGATTTTTACCATTTGAATATTGAAAGAGAAATAAGAGTAAAGGAAAAGCAAAAGAGAAAAAGAGTAGGACACACATTTTTCTTTCCTAGATTTTCTCTTTAGAAATGTAATAATTTTAGAAAGAGAATATGATTTCCAAAATTATATATCCTAGACGCTGCAACAATCTAGGCTTGAAGCCATAATTTTTTTATTTGAGCAGTCATTCTTCTTTCATTTTTTTTTAATCCAAAGATAAAGAAATAATTTGTTTTCTATTCGCTGTTCATTTTTCTTTATTTTTTAAAGCTATGTTAAGCCGCCTTTTGTTTCAACTTACAAGTGTTTGGTGACATTATCATGAATCTGTACTGCACATTCATTTGCAGTGCCATCTTCATTTAAAAGCACCTCAACAATAAAAACTTCAAGTGTCAATTACTAAACCAGCATGTGCACATGGGCCTTCACTATTCTCACCTTCAACAAAATCTTAAACCGCACTTCATACACCTAATTAAAACAGAAAGATTACCCCAAACACAACACAAACTCACAATTAACCATAATCTTGAATAATCATGGCTTATTAATTGGACTCAAGATTGAGGGCATTACAAACACATTACTTGGAAGATACATGGAAGGGGCATCTTGAATGAGGTTGAGGCCTTGAGGACCTTTGAAGTATCACTGAAAAATTTGGCTTTTCTTTAAAACCATTAAAAACTGTTTGGTGCACGTGCAGGGTCAAAGGAATCTATCTCATGGTTCTGCAGGCAGCAGCTACCAAGTACCAAGTGAAGAATCTCAAACCAAAATTCTCTCTCTATCTGGCATGTTAGTACGCAGGGTTTTTCTTTGACAATTCCATTATTGGCCTAGACAACTCCATTTGGAAGATGATTTTTAAATTTTTTTCAATAAGACACCATTACTCTTATTCTATGCATAGAAAAATAGAAATTTCATTTTAAAATGTATTTTATATGAATAAGGTAATATTTTTTTACTAGACAGAATTAATAAATTTTTAATTTTTTTTCTTAATTTAGATAAAAAATATAGAAGTGATTTATAAATGAAATTCATAGAATATTCTATTAAATAAACTAGACTTGATTAGATTACATACAGGCATGTCCAGCGCTACTTGCAAGATTAGTTAAGAAACATTTTTTTTATACACGTGTATCTCTTGCATTGCTTGGTATGCGATAGAAGCGAGACTACCGACCACACCTGATTGTGATCAAATTCCGGTTCCCGAATGTCACTCCCTTAACGAATTCGTTAACATTATTTCCCTCTATTTTCTCCTTCGGCTATAGTGTATATATAAATAGTATATATATTCATTTCGCATATTTCAAATTTCCACGGCGCTCAGATCTATGAAATCCACGCTCAGGAGCAGAGACTCCCATTTTGTTGCTCGGTTTCTGAAGCCTTAGGAGGAAGAAGACAAGGAAGAAAGCTCTCAAACACAGCAATGTCAGCCATTGACGGAGATTTCGATCTTCGGGTAATCTGAACCCTGACATGCCCTTGTAATTCCCTTCTTTTCTGTCTCTCTTTTTCTCTCTCGCTGACTCTTCCTTCCCCCTCATTCTGTTTCTTCGCGGCCGTCTTCTCAGTCTTCATTCACAATCGAGTGAGTTTTCCCTTCAATTATTACGCTTTACTCCCCCCCCCCCAAAAAAAAGAAAAAAAAAGTCTCACTGTATCGCGCCCTCGTTATAGTGAGTACACCTTCGCCGATGCGGGAAATTTGGAGCACTGCGCCAAGTATTTGAACCAGTCTCTTGTTACGTTCGGATTTCCAGCTTCTCTGGATCTTTTCGCGAATGACCCTGTGAGAATTGATCTCTGATGCTGTTCAGTTGATTATAATCTGGGAAAATGAAGAAAGGGACTTTTCATTCGTTTTCTTTTAATATGTCTTTATTTTGGTAGGTTTCCATTGCACGGACTTGCAATTGCATACACTTCTTGCTACAGCAGAGACAGCGGGATATTGAATTTAGAGAGTCTGCTAATGAACAAAGACAGCGGTAATTGTTCCCTATACCTTCTCATTTGTCTAATTTGGCCATTGCCCACTGGATCTTATATGCCTGGCGTTTAGTATTATTTTTGGGGTGGCTTTCTGTTGTTAGCTAGTTGCTATGTAATGCAGTTGAACTTCCCAGCTGTTTCTGTACTAATCATCTATGGAAAAACTTGTGCTTGCTTTATTTTTCTTGACATATCTGACATTCAACTTCACAAAATTTTTGTTCCCATGTACGTTTATTTTCCTAATTTGCCCATGTTCCTATTAGGTGTTTTATTTCTATGGATTCCACTTTTCAGTAACGCCCTGCTATATGTTCATCTGTATTGGTAAAGAGAATAGCGTGTCTATATTGTTTTACATTTATAGGTTCACATCCGCGTTTTGCGATGGGATTTCAGAAATTAAGTTTCAGATTATTTTTATTGTGTTGTGACAGTTGCAAACTAGCATTAGACCTCCACTTGATTGCTCATTGATTAGTTGATTGGACTCATTTTTTCTCCTTCTATACTTTTGGTGTGATAGACTATTATCTGACATATCAAGATTGGAAGCCAAAGTTGAGAGGCTTGAAGGACAACTACAATCTAAAGACCGGGAGATTGCAACAATTACTAGAACAGTAAGATGACTTAATTTTTCATATATTAAATTTTATCACAAATTGTATAACAGAAAGTAAAATTCAAGATTTATCAATCATGTCATCATTCAAGAATTTCTTATTACAACATAATGCTACCTGATAACCTTATCTTTTTTTTTTTTTTTTGGGGGGGGGGTGTTAATTCTGAATAAAATTCTCCCTGTTCAGGAAGCTAAAAACACTGCAGCTCTCAAGGCTCAAATTGAGAAGCTTCAACAGGAGCGAGATGAATTTCAAAGAATGGTTATTGGTAATCAGGTCTGAAACTGGATCTATATTGTTTTTTGCAGCATTTGATAATCGCCACTTTGTATTGGTCAAATTATGACTTATAAAAATGAATATGTCAATGCTGATAAAGCAAGTAAGGACTCAACAAATGCATGAGATGAAGAAGAAGGAAAAGGAATACATAAAGTTGCAGGTGGGATTTCTATTCTTGTCTTCTTTATTTCTTTTTTTAATTCGAAGAAGAAAGATATTTAAATGAATGGTGCTTAGATGATAGGACTTTTACGGATGAACAATTATATTAGCACAAAAGTTCATACGATATTAAATTTTGAATGAAGGCCTATCATGTTCTTGCAGGAGAGGTTAAATCAAGTATTGATGGAGAAGAAGAAGGAATCAAGGTCAGGCATGGAAATAATGAATTTGCTACAGGTATAAATTATCCAAGCGGTTTGAATGTTTCTGGCAATTTTTTCACTGCCATAGTAATTTGGTATCTATTATGTGTGTAATTCAGAAAGAAGGGCGGCAACGCGGAACATGGAATGGGAAGAAGACAGACAATGACTTTTATAAAAAAATCGTATGCAGCTTGATTTGTTTTCTCTATGTCTTGACACGCTTTTGTATTTTGGACTTTCTCATCTCTTGCATTTTTTTTTAATAATATAATAGGTAGATGCTTATGAGGTGAAAAATCAAGAACTTATAGCAGAGAATGCTGATTTAAGAGCATTATTGAGATCAATGCAGGTAACCCTTTTTTAGTAATTGGTATTTGCTGAAGTTTCTACTTTGCAAGTGTTTGAATGTAATATTCCTTTCTTCAACTTTATCTGTACGTTCTCATTCAGCATGTGCTGCCTTTTTGATCTTTCAACTTGCCTCCAGTTGCATGATGAGAAATATACCCACATGCAGTTGTCAACTTAGAATTAAACTTTTATAACTCCTTATTTTCTCAGTAGCTAGGAGTAGATATTTAACTTTTATAGTTACTCTACCGTATGCACGTTACTGATTTTGGGTTCATTCATTTTGTTTTGAGAACTTCTGAAACATTTTACTTTGATTAGATCATAGTAGTTTTCATTCTGTGTGCTTGTCTGTGATTCTGAGACTTGTGAGTGTGCTGCTTTCAGATGGATATGCGTGATTTCATTAATGCTCCTAATGGGCAATCAAAACAATCTGTCAGTGATAATGAAAGAGCTGAAAGTGATCCTTCACAATCTCCATTGGTTGGGAGGACGGTATGAAGCTTGTTATTATTTATTAAACTTCTTTGCCTTTGCCAAGCTACTATATGAAGTTAATCACTTACCTATTGCAGGATGTATTTGATCTCCCTTTTCACATGGCTAGAGATCAAATAGAAGAAAGCCTTCGAGCCAAGATGGCTTCTATTAAGGTATTTACCAACTAATATATTTTTCTCCCATTGTTGGTATTAGCGGATATGAATATGAACATCATTCGTGTCTTAATTGTGAATGCCTTGAATTATGGAAGGAGCGGATGGTGCAATTGCAAGATGCTCAGAAAGGAGCTGAAGTTACTTCAGAAGCAACTGAGAGAGAACTTGAGCTTGAAGCTCAACTTGTTGAAGCGAGGAGCATCATACAGGAGCAGGTAATGTTTCTGCTTTTGCAAATACTAATTTGGTGCATTTATTTGTTCATAAAAAGGAAAAAAAAAAACAAAACAAAACAAAGCAAAGCAAAACAAGGAGAATGCTGCTGCTGCTTTGGATCCCTTGTCTACACTAGATATCAAGTGAGGTTTTAGGATCTGTCACCCTTCCTTGCCTTCCAATTTAGTATTATGGCTGTGTGTGCCAGGAGTGCCTGTCTGTCTGCTCAAGCAACTATATCCGTAATATATCCTTGAATGACTAAAAGTAGAAACTTCTGTTCCGTTTGATCTATAAGGATTTTTGTTCTATAAAAATCAGAAAGGAATTTGTTGGTCATCTGGCTATCAGTTTAATTGAATCCAAAATGTATATCTCCATTTGAAAGGTTCTCTCTTTGAATAAAGCCAACAAGGGATTCCACTGAATCATGCCTTTGACCCGGGAAAAAAAAAAATTCTACTGTCTAGCTGCTTGGCAGAATTTTTTTTTGTTTGGACAATGCATTGCATTTTTGAGCATCATATGAGGATGTATTGTGCTATTATACTGTGCAGGCATCCATAATGTCCAAACATCTTGCGAAGTCTGAGAGGCCAAGGTACTTTGAGTGTGCTTTAGAGTTGGCGAGTATTTTCTGATTATGTGTGGATGCAGTAGTAAGTCACCCGTTGCCGTACTTTTACAGGGAATCTGTCATTCCACCACCAGCTGAGGTATGTATTTGGGAGAATGACAATAAACTCTCAAGAGAACAAATTCATTACAGTTAGGACTTGGACAAAGTTTTTTAAAAAACGAGTTACAAACATTGATTTAGATAATTATAAACAAGAAGATGCAAGCTGAGTGTTATATTTATAACTTAAATGTCTTATTTACAATTGAAATTTTTAAATTTATAATTATTTAAATTGATATTTGTAATTTATTTTTCAAAAAATCTTATTGGGGACCTAACTATCATTAATTTATTCTTTTGAAACTTGATTGTCATTTTTCTCCTGTATTTATTGGTGCGTGCCTTATTTCCCTTATGGATGAGAATTCTGTACTGTTAAAATCTCTTAACCTTGTAAGATGATTAGTTCCATAAAAAGTTAAAACGCTGATTTTATACTTGCATTATAAGACTCGAAATAGGAAAGCTTGACAGTTACAATCAAATATAATAAATAAGTCACAGGCTAATTAGTGGCCTTCTCATCCCAGATAAGGTGTATAATTTGGCAGTTCTTGTCATCTTGTAATGGATTGGTTGCCACTTGCTTGTTAATCTGTCTCATAACTGGTTGTTGGTTCCTGATCTTTGTTTGTTTCTGATTTGCAGGCAGTTTAACTAAGGAAGTGGGGGCATCCTAATATAATTCTTCTTCGTCACTAACGAAGCTCAGATATATGTGAATAGGCTCACATATGTTGTAATATCAATGCAATTAGTATGATCCATCATAACTAGGATCACTATGCCCTGGAACTTCTGGAAAAAGAGGGCATATATAACTATATATGTACTATATACATATACATATACATACATACATACATACATACTATATATATATATCTCGGCATCAAGTCTATGGCATTAAAACATGGACTTGCGCGGTAGATTTAAATGAATTTTCGAGTTTTATTAACTAGGTGTGTGTTTATTACATCAATATGTTTAGTAATATAAATTCATAACATGTTATACTATTTGAGTTATCAATGGTTGGATATTTTTTTTTTTTGGATGATATACAAACCATCATCTAATTAACATAAAGAGTTTTTTTTTAAAAAAAAAATTTAAGTGTGAACCCGGAGTTATATCTGAAACATTTCAGACTCGAAAAAAGGAGTTGCGCAGTTTGTGGTATGAAGACTTCAATTAGAAAATCATGATTCATATTATGAATACCCATTTTTGGGGGTATAATCAACCTTGTTGAATACATGAATGATCATAAGTAAAAATCTGAAATAATTAATGTGCCTAATATGCAAAAAATTGTTAGTGAAACTAAGCAGATCTATCACATGTACAAAACAAAATACAATTAATTAAAACAGCACAACTGGGAAGATATTCTCACATGAACATGAACACGTTATTTTTCGGCACAAACTAATCAAATAGCATTTGAAAGAAACATAAAACTACCACAAAAGTAAAATTATCATAGTATTTAGTATAAAAAAAAAGACATTCAAATATGTGGTTAAGAAATTACATGTCTACATAATACAAATTAGTCCCGCTTCATAATAGGAACCAGAGTCTTGGCAAAATGCATTGGAATGCATAAACTCAAGGGCCTTCCATATGCCTCTCCAGCAGAACATTCTGATCTTGTTGCCTGCATTGCCGGACGACACGGTGATGATGAGGAAGAAGATGAAGACGACCTTGAATCACATGGTGAAGCGAAGGACTCGAAATCGGAACTGCAATCTAAAAACCTTTCAAACACATAAAATCCTTGACATGATCATCATTATCATCCTTGGGACATTCTGGGAGTGACCTCTTCTTCTGACTTGCTTTCGTGATCCTCTTCCATAGACGACGCCGCAACCTGGACCAGGCGGTCGAAGGTTTAGGGTTTCCATGAATGGATGGTTTGGGAAGGGCTAAGCTGACAAGAGCAGGAGGAGGACTGAGAGGAGGAAGCTCTTCCTTTGGTGGATCCTTAGCAATTCCAGGCTTCATTTCCCAGTTGAACGGAACCCCTTCACCACTACCATAGTAATAGAATATTCTAGAAGAACACCCCACTGAAGAATTTCTGGTAAGAATTTTCATCAAATTCTCTTTCTCAAAATCCATAGTATCTAAGATATGATGATACTAATACTGGAGAACTTATTAGTGGGAATTTTCTGTGTTGTATTCAGAATCCTTTGGTGTTTGATAACAGACCAATTGGTGCATGACTATACATGTATATACACACACACATGCTAGTTTTAGTTTGAATGATTCAAATTAATGTTGAGTAGAATTGGTGGTTATACGTTGATTAATTAACGAAGCTTATCACTTTGTGTTACTTGGGGTTTTAGAGATCTAAGTCCTTTTGTGAATGAGAAGGAAACAAAATGTGAAGCATTGTGCATACGAGAAGTATCGTTGTTTGCAAGGTTAGGTTTAAATTTATTATTTGTTCATTTGGGCAACTTCTACTGAATGACCTATATTTGTTTATTATTGACCAAAACCATTTTAGACTCGACCGTCTTTGCTTCTTCCACAATTTTCTTCTTTTTATTGTTTACAGTATTATCACATTGAAGGCAAATATATTCAAGATATAATTGAATATTAAATAGAAATATCTCTTTCAAGAAAGTTTCAAATCTTAATTTATCACGTTGTGTGTGAGTATGACTCTTTTCATTAGACACAACCCCTTTTAGTCATTCTTTATTTTTAATTAGTGAAATCTCTTATGTTGATCTGATTTTTTTTAAATTTTGTTATTTTTTTCATTTTAATCTTTAAACTGTTTTTCATTTCAATCGCTTTAAAAGAAAAAAAAATATGTATACATGTTCTCGTACTTTTAAAATTTTTCCACGTGATTATCTTAATAGGAACAAAAATACAAGCTAGTCATCAGACATTAGTTGCTCGATTTTTTAATTAGATCACGTAATTATTTTTGTTACTAATCTTAATGTGAGGGAAGCTTTATTAAAAACAAAAATATGATTTAGTTTACTGAAATATAGGACAATCCAATTCCGAGGACCAACTTGAAAATTAAAATAACTTGTAGCTTTACTGTTTTATTTTTATTTTTATATGCAGACGTCACTCGCGAAAAGAACAAAAACTTAAGAAAGAATTCAAGGAAGCCACCAAATATAGAAGCAGCAAAGTTAGGAGGTGGACGTATTGTCAATGTTGATGATGTATAGAAGTTTATTACTTCGCACATGTATAAAATAAAATAATAAGGGTACACAAACATGTAGACCTCAGAATTTTTTTAAAGTATTTCACATGTATGAAGTTAAAAAAATTAATAGGAAAGAAATCTAGTGGAAGCTAATTTTTCACAATGTGATGAACTTTAATTCAAATTTTTATTAAAAGATGTGCTTATATTTTGTGTCTAAATGTATCTTGAATATGATGGTCTCAATAGAAGAATGCATATAAGTAATAAAAGCTTTTTTAAAAAAATCATCTTTGCACATATGTAGTGGCTAAAGCCATAATCCTAGGTTAGAAGAGTAATTTTTTAAAAAATAATTTAAAAATTTTATATATATCTATTATATTATTGGGCCTTGAGTTAAAATGTTGAAAAATTTGAATCCGAGTTAAGAGATAAAAAAAAATGCACTTAGTATTCAAAATATTAAAAAAAAAGGAGAAAAATATTGAAGGAAGGAGGTGCAAATTTAAAAGGAAAACACAATCATTAGCCGCATAATTTTATGACTTCTGCTTTAATCTCTATAATTTTTTTAATATTGTCCCTATAATTTACATAATTTAATATTATTAGAGACTTGAGAAATAAACGTACTTAATCTTATTGAAACTATAGAGACTGAACATATTAAAAAAATTGCAGAAACTAAAAATAAAAACTGATAAAACTACAGAGAAACCATTATTTATAATTTTCTCCAAGGAAAAGGGCTCCACTTGTATATGATGTTTCCGCCACTGCATATATGAATTCTATGAGTTTTACCGAAGAAGTGAAACTCATTAATGTGTTTCTTTCTTTCTCAAATTTCAAAACATCTGCTAATTCCGTTACTGGAAAAGATTCGTATGGAATTAGTATTTTAGAAAAACATTTTCACGCATGCATTAACTAACTTGAAGTAATAGGCAAAATTATTGAACCTGCGCCTTTTCTTCTCACGTGTCACTGTGCTACAATGATATTAACTTGTTAAATACGATCTAGAATTTGAATTCCATGAATAGATCATGAAATCACATTAGGACGAGCATTTTTCCTTTTAGAGTTCCGTTATTTAAGTTGAATTGGGTTTAATCTATATTAAGAGATTTAAAACAATTAATTCACACGCCCGATGATTTGTCTGTTGCAAGCCAAATATGTAATGGAGTTGAAATTATGAAATAGAAAATGTGAGTAGTAGTCTTGAGGTTAGGCTTTTGTGTTGAATAGATGACCATAAAGTTGGTTTGCAAAGTGTACATCTAACTCCAGAATTTAATTGGCATGTATATCAGCTTTGGGTTTGATCACAACGATCAGGACCGAAGGAGTAACTTTACTCTTATCTCAAGAAATCAATTAGACTCAGATCTTTGGACAACAAAATGTTTCATTCATTGAACTCCATTCAATGCAAATACTATGTCAACTGATTTCATCGAGTTGACTTTTCAGGTTTATTATTTTTCACAGATCCTGTCATGTGAGTTTGTCAGTTTGATATGATATGAATCTTGTCATGCGAGTACATGCATATACAAGTACCTAAATGTAGAAAACTTGTAACTTCACAGAATATAAAACAACAATAAAAAAGAAACATGACTTAAAAGAGACCCTAGCTAGTTAGCCAATTTTGTTCTAACCGCCCTCAAGAAAAAAACCTTTAATGATTGGATTTGCACAAATGTTCTTGCCGTGTATTTTATTTATTACTCTTTAAACTAAGGTTGGATTGAATAGTAAGCAATTTGAAACCGTCCCTTAGCTATAATAACGCTTGTACATGTGCCATGAAGCAAAATGAACCTGTTAAACCATGATAAGAAATTGGCAATTCTGAAAATCGAATATAATTCACTCTTTTGGATAACAGCTTCAATAGTTTTAAGTTTGATTGATACTAAAAGTACACTCCTCTCTAGCAAAAAAAGTAAGTCCCTCACAATGTGATAAATCAAGATTTGAATCTCCTTTTGAGATGTGTCTGCATTTAGTTTCTCACAATGTCATGAACAGAATTGTCTCTCATAGGAGGATATTAATGGGTAATCAAAGAAAGTATACTCCTCTGATCCTATTTATAGGATTGAGAGAGTATTTATTTTAATATTATTTAGAAGGTACTTCAATAATTATTGTATCTCTCTTTACTTTTTTCTCCTATTAAATATTAAGAAGGTTATTTAATATTAAATATTTTTTAAAGTATATATATTTAATAGGGGTAAAACTGAAAAATTTTCAAATTTTCAGACAAAATTATTGACATTTAAGGTTTTTCTTGACCTTATGAAAATGTCAAAAGTGATTATAAATAGGATCATGAGAGAGAATCAATTAGAGTAATTGTAAGTATATTATATGCTCTTTTTTTTTTGCATAAAACTCTTTCTAACTAACTAACATATATTAAGAAATATAGTTTTAAAAATTACTATAGTATAAAAAACATAAAAGCTTTTAGAAGGGGATATATATATTATATAAGGTTACATTGTAATTTTACTGAATTTTGAAACAAATGCATATGACTCTATCATATTTAAATGTTTAAAATTAACTCCCATAATTTATAATTTTATTTTTTCAAAACCCAGCCCCTATCTTTAAATTATATGTTATCAATAGACTTTGTTATGACATATTAATGAGCATGACATGAAAAAAAAATATTTTTTAATTTTTTAACACAAGTTAAGGAGAGACAAAATTATAATTTTTACTTTTAACACACATAATGATCCTTTCATTTTTTTAGTTAAGCAACTTTATTCTCATTTTTACTATTAACACAATTTAAGAGAAAAAACTCAAATGTTATTGTTCTTTATCAATTTTTATGTTAAACATATGAAAAGAAAAAAAGATTTAAAAGCTGTTTCTGATAAGAATTATGCACATAAAATTTATCCTTTAATATATGAAAACTATGCATCATTACTAACAATAAAAAACATGAATAAAACTAATACAAAAGTAAATATTTAAAAAAATATAATTTTTATAAATTTATGACTTATTCACATAAAATGCCATGCACATATTTATGTGGCTTTTCTTAATCTGAGATGACAAATTTTATTAATAACATAACAAAGTTAATTAACAATAGAAGGCTTTAAAAAATAAAATTAAAACTTAGGAGAATTAATTTTAAAGTGAAATGAGTCATATGCAATTATCTTAAAATTTAAAAAAGTTTTTATACATTTTAGTTTATTAAAAAGGAAAAAAGAAATGAAGGAAGCACATTCACAGTTGAAAAGTACTAATTGCTTACCATGAGTTTAAAAAAGGTTTAAACTTTAACTCTTAATGAACCTAATTAAACCTGTAAGAGCATGCATCATTTGCTAGAGCATTAATGATGGTGAGAGAATCTACTTATCTGATGAGACTGACATGGGGCTGCTTCTTGGAGTCTACAGTTTTGACGCTCAAAATTCTCATTAAAAAGGTTAATAAACACCCGCCTAACAAATATGAGTGTCAATTAAACTATGGCATAAGATAGTCAAAGTTTTCGAATTAAAGTTTGTCCACTATATGATTTTCAACAAGTGAAATAATATCTTGCTAAGTAAGAATTTAAGTCTTAAACCTTTAAAAATACCTTAAAATGATATAAGTCTCAAAGAAACCTTTATCGAGAACATGAGACTTTCAAAAAATTTAAAAATCTGTATCCATTATAAAAAATGGTGGGGCGGGGATGATGGTCAAAAGATTTTTTTAAATAAAAAATTCATGAGTTATTGAAATGATTCCTGAAAAAAACACAAAGTTCTTCATGAAAAATCAAACGAGAAGTGTCAAACCTCTGCCAACATTCAAAACATGCACACAAATTCACTTGCCTCCGCCTTGTCTGAGGCAAAAGGAGAAATTCATTTAGAGGGGACCATACACAAATAAATAAGCCTAGATCGGGGCTTTAGACACAGAAAATAACCATGGCCTTGTAATTTTAATTAACAAGAAACATTGTCAGAAAAAATAATT